GACATGAGACTGCTGCATATTTTCCCTTTAAATGTTTGCTTTTAACTATTATCTAGGAACTGCGTGGTGTGTATTCCGAAATATTTTTGAAAAGAATTTAGAAAGTGAAGGAGAAACATTGTTCAATCATTGAATAACTGATGCCTTAGATTTAAAAGTCATTAACAACAGAAGCTATTACATTATTATAGTCTCATAAGTTTTATTATAGGCATATAAGTTATGAATGCATACTTTTAGAAGTCTACACGTTTGGTATGACTGTGATGGGTTTATCAGTACCATTAAATTCTAATTGTCTTTTCTATATTTCTGCTTACTTTGGCTAATGAAGTATAGCACTCATGCTGACATGCTGACCTCTTATTTTTACAATATCATTACTTCTTCTGATTATATAATAATGTGCAATGGGCAAAAATTCACATTTCACATTTGTGGAAAAACTGTAGATCTTGCAGCATCTGCTAAAATAGTTCTGTACAGATGCTGATCTTCCTCTGATAGCGCCTGGGAGGAATTCTGTTTCATAACTGTATCAGCTTTGATAAATGCATATGTATGTATGTATGCTGTATGTTGGTAAAAGCTGGTCCAAGTTCCACCATGTAAAGCCAATGTGAGAGTTAACCCATTAAATTAGGGTTCTGAAGAAGCTTTAATTGTTAGTTAATTATACAGTATGTATCCACTTATCAGTGTCATGGAATTAATCATATAATGTACCCGAAATCTGGCCTCTGGATTCACCTGTTCTTCCTTCTTACTATATGTGATTCCCCCTTGTGAACCTGTTGACTCAGGTATCTGATTGTGGTTCCACCTTTTCTGTCACGCCTCAGAAAAGAACCCAGGCTCCTGCATGATTTCACAACGTCTAACGAAAGGTGAAATGTGCTAATTAGAAAGGGCGAGATGAAAAGATTGTCACTGCCAACTCAGGCTACCTTGAGCACACCTGATGCCTTCCGTTAACTTCATGGTTAAGGCTGGAATCATTATTACTGCAAAGACAAATAATATTTTATCTTTCAATTTGCATAAATATTGTATTCTTCATGTTTTCTGCTCTGTTTGCAGTTATAGATTTTTTATATTTCCTTGAACATCTCACCCGACTCACACTGTACTCTCTCTGACAACAAAAAGTTCAAAGACATTTTCTTTTAATTTTATTCCTGTCTGACCCTCAGAGGTATCATGGAGAATTAGCAAAGAGGAACCTCAAAACTCACCCCCTCCCATGGTCTGGGAAGAGGGCCAATGCATCTGGTTGCTGGTTATCTATTCCTGATGTCCCATCTCCCTCTGCCTCTGAAACAACTAACACATAAAGGAAACACTTTTTTTTCTGTCAGGTCTGAAGCATATGGCCAGATATATCAGAGTTTCACTTGTGAATTTAAATGTCTGAGAGTGGAGGAGGATGGAAGGTTGTGTCTTAATCTCTCAGCTCTGGGTTGAGGGCCTCTCTGCAAGTACAAGAGCAAAGTATTCCTAGTTTCACTGCAAACTAATGAGGAACCGCGGTGTTTAATCTTTCTCTCTTGTAATTGCATGACCTGTGGTTGCATATAAATAGCCTCATTAGTATTTAATATGGCCATTGGATTCTTAATCCTTCCTTATCTGTTCTTCAAGACTAAATGTTTTTCACAAATTTCATAGACATACTGCTATAATTGACTACTTTGGGATCTTATCAGTTACCCTAAAGACAGTTAGTTGGATGATTTGAAGTAAATGCTGAGGTTCAGCAGAGTGACAGGGTCTTATGAGCAAAAGGAAATTTACCATGGTCATGATTATTGATCAATCCTCATTCCTCAAATTCCTGAAGGTCGTAGGGTCTTTGTGAAGGAATGTGGAGACAGAAATAAGAGGAAATTGAGTTAAATAGATTTAATTTCAAAATGTTTATTGTTTATTTATTGGAAATGTGTAATAGTTAATTCAGTAATCTATGGGAAAAAAAATTATACGATGATGATTGTACATGTACTCTGCGTTTTTGCTAACCTCCCTCTCAACTTTCACCTCCCGCAATCATGAGGGATTATAAAGGCATGTTGTGTCAAGCAGTGAATCTCGTCACAGGTGAAAGATCCTCAAAGCCTTCACACCAACAGTTGCCAAATCCCTGCAGATGTTTGAGTTTTGCAGCAGTTTCTTTTCTTGGCGTTCAGTGTAAACATTAAAGAGCGATAATGACACTGACTACACCAACTGCAGGAATCCTCCAACGAGACTGCATGTTGATCATAATTAGATACGATGGACTGATGAAGAAAATTTGGTAAAAACACAGACTTGGTGGTGATAGAAAACTCTTGTCATCCTTTGTTTTCTGAGAAAAGAGAGACGCTCTAAATGTCTAACTGCCAGTGATGGAGTCATGCTGCTGTAGGTTGCCTGGCTCTCTATACAGGCATTCAAAACATGACCTGCTCTGTAAGGGAGGGAGCCCTTTCAGAGCCAAAGATGCCTGAGTGATGGATTATAATGTTTATTCTTTGCCTCCACTGTTTGAAGAATAGGTTTAAGAAAAGGCAGGAGGTGAGAATATCACAAGCAGAAATATGACTGGCTGTGAGCATTTTCGAAACTCTCGAAGTCAGTGCAATTAAAGTTTAGCATTGACTGCATTCTGAGAGAGGATAACCCCATAGCCTGTGAGTGACAGGAAAGCATCAGTTGGCCTTCTGGCTCCAGCAGGTGCAGTCAGATTACTGAGGGGAAAAGAGACAAAATGCTAATTTGACCTTATCAGGAGTGAACTAATTAAAGTTTCGGAGATAAGGAGGAAATTGATGAAAAGTCCTTAAAATAGAAATGGGATACTATGTATACTGTTTTGAGGGACATGCAACTGCTGATCAGTAGATAAAGCAGCAACAAGCTGCATTTAAGTAAATACACAACCATGACAAATGGCGATGAATATCAAACTAGCTCAAATACAATGTGTCTGTCACCTCTCTAGCTTTATTTATCTGCAAAAATAATATCTTCCAATCTCTGTGCTTGACCGGCGTTAAAAAAATGTCAAACACGAAAAAGGAGAGTGAAACTACAGAAAGAAATACCTGACTAGTATGGCCACTCCAACATCATCGCAGTTCTGGTAGACTTTAGTCCAGGAGTCCTGGATCATCACCCTCTCCTTGTCAGTCAGTGGGCTTGGTTTCTCCAGGTGGTCCACCTCTCCCTCTCCCTGCATCCTCTCCATCTGGGAACACAGTTGTGCAGAGCTGAGCACGTGCAGAAGGCAGGGCTGATGAGAGTACCCCTCCCCCAAAATAAACACTATATTTCTACCTTTTTCTTCTCCTTCTTGATGAGAGAGAAAGAAAATCAGTTTCCCCTGTCCGCCCTCTCCCAGTGAGAATCTTTGCTCTCCACCACTGAATCTCTGCTGAGCGAGAATGTGAGTGAAGGAACAGGCTGAAAAAAAAAACCCACAAGAAACACACGCAGCGAACGAGGAGGAGCCTCTGTACTCTCTATTTTACACTCTCCCTTCGCTCTCTCTCTCTTTCTTTCTCCCTCTTCCTACCTCACCTTTGTAAGTGGTGTTTGATGAAAGCATGATGAGATAGGAAACAAATCCGTCATATGAGAGTCAAATATGTAATACATGCAATGTGAGAGCATGGATGCACTGTATGATTATGACGTTAAAATAAGATAAAGGAGCGCACTCTGACCCTTCCTTCCAGAGTCACCATCCAGACTATCCAGGAGATTAACCTGTAATGATATTGAATTTCTCACAAAGCCCTGTCGACGTAAACATTAAAAACACTTTTTTCTGACTGAAAATGAAGCAGCATGACGTCCATCAAAAATAGGCCAGGCGTCTATTTTTTTTGGTGTGCTCTGTACTTCTAACAAGATACAGATTATATCAGTCCATTTTTCATTATTTTACCCTTTTCATTATATGCACACACCCTCAGGAGTGCCGCACGGCTCTCACCCACTGCACTCTTTCAAACACATACATTTTCCACCTTTGTTGTGGCAGGGGTTATCAGTGGGTCACCATATCTCACTTGTGTTGTCACAGCTGAAAACTTGAGACTGTTCTTGTTCAAGTTTCATAGTGGGCTGCGCCAACAGGGCCAATTAGTCAGGAATCTCTTAAATGTCAAAGGAGAGCACACATAGGAGAAGTGAGAAGACAGATATTGATGTCGAAACAAAAGCTACAACTGAGGTGATATTCTATTACTGTGGAGGTACAATTTACAGTAGGTGCCAACAAAATAGGCACCCATGTTAAATATTGACAGAGTCCTTCAGAGTATACCATTAACAATGAAGTTGGTGCAACAACTGGGCTTAAGATGGACACATCTCATATTTCTGAGGAGTCTCAGTTATCTCAGCAAAACAACTCTTTCAAGCAGCTTTTATTACTTTCCCCAACAGCTGTACAGCAGAATTATAGCCAGTTATTATACCAGCTAATCACATTATAAATATTGTAACTTTGGTTACAGGTAAATATTATTTAAATTAATCTCAGCCTCTCCTAATGAAAAAAACAAACAAACAAACAAACAAACAATAAGATCAGAGTTCATGTATCAGGCTTCTCATGCCACAGGTATGTGATTGTTAAACTGGTTGGTCACGGTTGTTGTGGATCAAGCAATCAAGGAGACTTGGTCAATGATTGTAGATCAATATGCTCTGCTCTTACGGGTTTTATGTTTCTACAGCAGATTTTATACTGCTTTATGATTATTTCTGCTGTCCACACCCACCCAAACTGAGATACCAGTACATACGAATTATGTTAGGCTACACCTCTAACCCAGAAGAAAAACAGATCTCATGATATTATTATGGTACATCCAAAGGCATAACTCTGCTCAGTAGACACAAGGCTAATAAGTAATGACACCTAGTGGACAGTTGGAGTAACATTACTTTTTCGGTGCTGCCAGAAACACTATTTTTGAAAGTCAATTATAAATAGTCTATGACACCATGTGTACAAACAGGTGTTTTTTATGATTACCTAATATATCATTTAGGCAGGTTATCATCTAATCACAGACACTTTAAATACCCATAATAATAATAATCCACGAACCTATGATGATCATCTCATCTATAATCCTGCCACTTGAGATGAGGGAAAACCTAATTATTAGGTTATAAACAAATAACTACATTATTTCATAGGAACGCCATGTCTCTCTTTGGGGGCAGGCTCTTTAGGGCTTTTGCTTTCAGGGATATTTCAGTCACAACTGTATTAGGTGTCCGTTGGATTAAAAAAAGATACCAAGCTCGTGATTTCTTATTAAAATAGGATTTACAACGTGTGTGCGTTAACCTGTATAAAACCTATGAAACCTCGGCCCTCACTGAACAAAGACAACAATAAAATAGACAGTAATTGCAGGGCTGTTAAGTAGCCAAGTACATTTACCCAAGTACTGTACTTATACAATTCTGAAGTGGCTGTATTGCTCTCCACTTACTGCACAATAATTAGTTGAAAGTTTTAGTTAATAGTTACTTTGCAGATTCAGTTTTTTTTTAATACAAAATAAAATCAAGTTTATCATGTGATGTATTATTATAGATTAAACTACCTCACAGCATATAAAGCAGCCTAGTTAAATAAGTCCCACCTTTACCATCTGCTGCATTAACTTGATACATACATTAATACATCAACAATTATTATCTTAAAATATAATATACATTTTCTGCATTGCCCATTCTGCATGAAGAGTACTTCACGATGAGTATATTTCGGTACTAGCTATATTTTTAATGCAGGAATTTTATTTTGTATGTCTACATTGTCTTAAAACTTCTCTTACTTAACTAAAAGTTGTCAGTAATTCTTACATCACTGAATAATTAATATTTTGAAACAAAACCACTGACGCTCAATGTGACACAATCAAAACAGGTGCTCAAAAGCGCAGCCGGCAGGATTGAACCAAAGAAGCTTCCGTAGCTCTGAGTGTGGACGGTTGATAGGCTACAGTGGTACCTGAGTGACAGGTATCAGTGAGTTGTGCGCGAACAACCGGATTATTCAGCAAACTAACGGAAAATAATTAATGTTCGTTTTTATAGCTATGCTGTAGATAAGTTTGTGTCGTACACTGAAGGTCATTTTGTGATATTAGCCCACCAAGCAGCCTAGTGTGCGGTAGGTGGCTAGCTGGTTAGCTAACGACAGCGTCACTAGCAGAAAATCGGAAATAGACGCAGTGGAGATAAAAGGTGCCACTGCTGCCGGTAACTGTCTGTGAAAGAAACCATCAGGAGTGCCACGATGAATGTCGCTAAAAGTGGTTATCGCGTCTTTTCAGCTAACTCGTCCGTAGCATGCACAGAGCTAGCCAAGAAGATAACGGAGTGAGTATAATGTTCATGTACTTTTCACCACTACTGCTGTTAATGACTGCTGATTAATGTGTAGGCTACTGAGTTGTTCTCCTACACAGGGCCAAGCACGAAGACATTTAAGCTCACGAATAACATGTCACGATGTTTGCCAAAGCCTGTTAAAGGATCAATGACCTGTATTTTTTGGTTTAGCATTGACTACTAAAGGCAGATATTAGCTGAGAAGTGGTATTGTGTAATGATGCTATGTGAGTGCTTGTAGCTGTTTTTGCATGGTCGGCTAGAAGCTGTCAATTTTGAAAAATGAATGGATGATGTGATGGATGCCTCGTGTTGGTTTGTGTGTGAGACGCTGCAGCTTGCAGTAGCTTGTGATCATTACATCTCACACCTGGTTGCATTGTAGCTGTAATTTTGTGAACTTGTTTCTCAGGCGGCTGGGAGTTGAACTGGGGAAGTCTGTGGTCTTTCAGGAATCTAACAGAGGTGAGGAGAATGTTATGGCATGGTATAAAAATAGTTTAATTTTACTCGTATTCTTGACTGGTAATTATTAGGAACCCTGCTAGCAAGCTAATACAAGTGCCCATTCCCCCCTCAAATATATATTGTGTATATCAAACTTTGTGGAATTGAATTTAATCATTTTTATGTAAGTTAATATGAGACGATATACTGTTAAGGCACTAAATACCAAGTCTGTGGTCTGTCGTGATCAAATGAAAGTAACGCAGAGAAAAAACACTTAATTTTATCTGAAGACTTTTACAAATTTAGATAATGTGGATTGGTCATGTTACAATTTATACCTAATCTGCTTGTTATGATTAGTATTCTCAAATTCTTGAAAAGTTGTTGGTCTGGGTTGGCTATTGAATATTTGAGTATGGCCTGGGCACTCATTATTGATTGCTGTGGCAAAATGAACGTGATACATCAAGAAATTTCATTTATTCATTTAAGAAGTGTAGATGTGTATGCACTGCACAATACACAGTAATATTTGACGTGTGCAAAATGTGCTCAATGATTAACGAATTAAAAAACTTTATCAACGTGAGTATTTAAGGATGAGTGGTGTTATTGAATATACCCAAAAGGTAATTATGGGGAAGTATTGACATTAATAAGCAACATTTCTAAATGAATGTCTTATTTTTTCTCTGTGCAGAGACTAGAGTGGATGTAAAAGAATCTGTTCGTGGACAAACTATCTTCATCATCCAGACAATACCAAGGTGAGTTTAGAAAGACATGCTATTTGCAGTGCAACAGGAATTTGAAAAGTTCATACCATTATCGCTAACTAAGATTTACATGATTTACTGTTCTCACTATGTTTTTGCTACAACCAGAGATGTCAACACAGCCATCATGGAGCTGCTGGTTATGGCTTACGCCCTCAAGACCTCTTGTGCAAAGAACATCATTGGAGTTATTCCGTACTTCCCCTACAGCAAGCAGTGCAAGATGAGAAAGCGGGGCTCAATAGTGTGCAAGTTGTTAGCTTCAATGCTTGCTAAAGCAGGTAAACACAAAAAACACCTCAAGTTGTGGTTTGTTAAAAATATCTTTAATCCTGCCCATCTCTGGTGTCGAGTTTGCAGGCATTGAATGTCATGTTTACAGATAAAAACTATTCTAATTGTTGACAGTGAAATACCTGTGTTGATTGTGAGAAAGGCCCACTACTCATCTGTCTTTTACTCCATAGGTTTAACACACATCATCACCATGGACTTGCATCAGAAGGAGATCCAAGGCTTCTTCAGCTTTCCAGTGGACAACTTACGTGCCTCCCCTTTTTTGATTCAGTACATCCAAGAGGAGGTGATAATCCCATTTGAATGTTTATCGCGCTTGTTTAAGTATAAGTGTAGGCAACTCCACCTCTGACGTCTGTTTTCCTTTTTCCTGTCAGATTCCCGATTACCGAAATGCCATCATTGTGGCAAAGTCCCCAGCAGCAGCTAAGAGGTAACTGATGGAAAAACACAACACTGATTTTACCTTCTGTTACGAAATTTTCATGGTCCTATGGAAAAAATACAAACATTGCATCATGCCAGAACCGTTCAGTCCTACACGTGTTTCATATAAATGCGGTATGTCATTTGCAAAGTATGTGACTGAGAATGTTTCACAGAAAAGAGTGTTTATATTATTTTTTCACCATTGCATTCTGACTTTGTTTTCTTTATCTAGGGCTCAATCCTATGCAGAGCGCCTGCGTTTGGGTCTGGCTGTGATTCACGGCGAAGCTCAGTGTTCAGAGTCTGACATGGCTGATGGAAGACACTCACCACCATGTGTACGCAACACAACAGGACACACAGGACTGGAGCTACCTTGTAAGAAAACCTATCTTTGTAGAGTGCTGTTTGGCGTTTCAGGTTTTCTTTGCAGATTTGTCTCTGTTTGTTTCTCATGGCTAGATTCCTTTTCATTTGTCACACCATGGTTAAATTCAGAAAGAAATTTCTTTTGATTTTTGTTAGTGTAATTCTTAAGTGCTTTAAAGCTTAATATATCAACACTTCAGTGCTTTCATAATATAAATCAAGCCTACAACCTAATGCAGTCTTACTTGTACAAACCTGTTAGGAGATGATTCTGCCGTTTCTCTCTCATACCATCAACCATACTCCAAGAAATTGATTTCTGTCTTACTGCATGTTTTAATTCCACAGATAAACTACTTTAACTCATTCTGCATCTTCAGCAAGCTGCAACTCATAACTTACAAAGAGTGACGTGCTTAATAATAATAATAATAATAATATCATAGTCCCTGCCTGATTCTTGGCACATACCTTGATTTAAAGGTCCCATATTTTAGGGAGTGAGATTTCCATGTCTTTTTTGATTATAAAACAGAAAGTATGCCTTAAAATGAGCCGTCAGGGCTTCTTTAATTTTATGATGTTACAACTATACAGTCACCCTCAGCCATGGCCCTAGCACGGCCCGCCCAGATCCACCGTCCAACTTTTAAAAAAAAATTTTTTATTTATTAGCTACACAACACCAAGCGTCCATTGCATCACCGAGCTAACAAGCTACAGGACAGATAAATGTCAAGGAAATGGGACAGAAATGCTGGATGTCAGGAGGCCAATATATCATTGTGCAGCCTTCCCAAGGAGAGCAAGAATAGAAACCAGTGGCTAAAGTTTATTTTTTCTGAAATACTGGAGAATTTAAGGCCTAAATTGACTTTGTGTTTGACTCATTTCAGCACTGACTTACCATCGCTATTTGCATTTACCAGTGAGTTTTACAAGATACAGAAGTAGGCTGTAGTTGGTTACCTGAGGTTGGCCTGGCTTCATCACTGAAAAAACAGTCAGCCAATCAGAGGAGAGGCTCAGAGACAGAACCAAATTCCCTGTTCTTGCTGGATGGAGTGAGGAGACGTAAAACTATATTTAGATGGATTTTATGTACTTCAAACCACAGATCTATCTTCTTATGGACATCATAACTCCAAGTAAAACACTGGAGAAGTGTCAAATATGGGACCTTTTTTAAAAAATAAAAAAAAATAAATAAAAAAAAGGGAAAAAAAGTACTTTAAAAGAAATAGTAACGCTACTCTGGCATATAGTATATTTGCAGTATTAATTTCTGGTAAATGGTTCAGTCTGACAAGATATCAAATGATTGTGTCATTGGCAAATGACTCCAAAGTATTTGCGTCCTGTGTTCACTTTATTATTTGGTAAAAAAAAAAAAAGATTTATATTCTTACTTGTTTTTAATTCTTACCCTTGACTTAAAAAATCCTCCTTTGAAACAATAACTCACAAATGGCTTCGACCATAAGAAGACTTTTATATTTTAACAAAAATAAGTCTGATCTGCTGACTTTTTTTTTTTCTTAATTTCTGTCAACCTAGCGAGAGGATTTTCCAAGTCTTGGCATCATGTGTTTGTCATGTCAAATACTTGTGCATTTGTGTTAACGTGGTGTTTATTTGTTGGTAATAGCAGGCAAACAACAAGCCCCGTTCCCTGGCATAGAGCTCCCAAGTACGGCCGTAAACTTAACTTACATCTGACTATGAAATGATTCCTCCTCAAATGGTTCCTCAATTTGTGCATGTGTAGATAAAGGGTTTGTGTTGCATCTTGTGAAAATACAGTCTGGATTCATGAGGGGGAGTTTGTGAAAATTGCACAGACGGATTGTTAGTGCCCAGACAATTTGCATTGACAACTTTTTCAGGCCAATCAGCTACGGAGTGCTCCATACTATATGCTATTTGCATGGCATGTTTGATTTGAAAATAAGCAGCGTTTATGTTTACTGCACCTTTCTAAGATTCCAGACAGCTAATTCTACAAGATGGCCAAAACCCTCTTTGTTTTGTTGTGTTCTGATTTTATTTTGAAATCCATAAATCAAACCAAAACCATGCCAAACATTTTTTTCTTTGTTTTTTCTTTCTTTACTTGTATATCTGGACTCATCTTGCCAATCAACACATGATGCACCCATATTAAACCTGCTCTGAAAAACCTGATTAACATTTGGTCATAACTGCATGTGATGGTAACAATGAAGCATGCTTTTGAAACCTTACATCTAATGAAGGGAAGGAGAAACGTTACAAATGGAAGGATTGGTGTTGGTTTAAGTATTGAATTCACACAGCACATATCAAAGTTTCGGTTTGCTACCTCAGTGGTAAAACAGAACTTATTTTATCAACAATATTTGGTGTAGTATTACACTTTATCTCTATGATAGAGGTTTCTGGATGCAGTGCCAACCTGTTGTTAAAATTTGCCAATGAAATCCATTACGATTTTCAAATCTATCACAGGAATGTTGATTAACGGGTTTTCTTTTAAAAAAAAAAAAAGAAAAAAGACATCTTAAATTAACTTTGAAGATATCTGACCAAACATTTCTCAGGTAGCTTGTTGCAGTATCTCAGCAAGCTGTGAAGACAACATAATTTTGAGAAGTGTGTGTACTGCTAACAACGTGGCTTTTGCTGTTTTAGAAGTCTGAATGTGACTCTGCCAGGTTTTCTGATGCTGTGGGACTCACGGTATTCAGCAAAGTGTTCTGCAAGGCATGCTCCTCCTTTCTCTGCTTCGTTATACTTTTTCCTTCACAATCGGCTTTGCTGGCTGATTGTTTACCAGTTGATTGTTTCCTTGTACCCTTTGAATGACCACATTTACATGCACACCAATACTTAAAATGCATCCTTTAAATTGGGCTGTATACCAAAAGCTTCAAATCAAACCCCAGTTTCATTTTGATGCTTCAGTTAACAATCATTTATTTTAGTTGCAGGTTATGTGCATATGTCATATTATTACGTCTACCACAAGGTGGAGCACTTTCATGTTGGTGTCAACATGTTATTACATTTTAATGGCTCTCCTTAACCTTTCTTATGATAGTTTATCTACCTGCATAGTACTGTTTAAGCTACTGAAATTGCCAGGATATCCTGACACCAGTGCAGTTTGGCAGAATTAAGTGAAGCTGCTCATAGCCTGGGGATGGACAGAATTGCATTACTAGATGTATAGACCCCATATTGTGATGATGGAGAGCAACCTTGCTCAGAAGTTTTCATAATGACAAATGAAGCTGCGCTGATATGAGTGATTTAAAAATTATATCTTGTGCGGTTAAAAAAAATGCAGTTGTTGCATTTCCTGAGACTGGTACGTGAGATGTATTCTGATTATTGTGTGCATGTAAAAGTAGCCGCTGGCACCAGTGATGTTCGACTGAGGACTGACCCCAGATCATTGGCAAATGTGTATGAAGAAACCCTCATCAGTGCTTGTCAGCCACTGTTGTCCCGTGTGAAATAAGATTGTCTGGTGCATATTGGTTCATATGCAGACTGCTGCCATGAGCCTGCAACAGCCCAGGCCTGAGGCTGTGTGTGCAGGCAGTTATACATTGCCTTCTGATTGGGTATCCTGGGCAGAAAACCCTGTCATTTGATTTTTTTGCATGGCATGTGCTTTACTAAGTCTAGCATTTCTGTTTAATCCCCTCGGGGTAGGTGGGGTAGAATGGGGGGAAATATTCAAAACAAATTACTGGCTTTTGATTGCCATTTTAAATTCAATAAAGCATTGTATTACTCTAAGAGAATTTATAAAAATAACATCATTCAATAACAACCCCATGATTTTGGGGTGTAGATTTGCCTAAATTGCAAAACATTTTCTCAACCCATTTTACCCAATCTACTGAGATTTCTTTTTGATTAGATTAAATGTAGTAGGCACAACCTCCTTAATGTGCTCTCTCAGGTAACATGTTCTGCTTTCCTTTTCAGTAATGATGGCCAAGGAGAAACCTCCCATTACCGTTGTCGGAGACGTGGGAGGGAGAATTGCCATCATTGTGGTAAGATGCTGCAAAGACATAGCAGAAGCACTGTGTCTGCACTTTGTGTTGGTTAGATTGTTGAGCTGTCGTTTTCAGCTGTTCTGCTATCTTGTAATTATTACTCTTCAGAGTCACATGTACAGCATTTCAAGTGGTATTCACTATAAGTGGTCAAATTCATTGATCTGCTACCGAGACAATGTCATTTTTGAAATAAGTAATAACGCTTTCTTCCTTTTGACATATGAAAAGTTAAAATCATAAGCAATAAAACATTTTTTGAATCAGTTCACTGACTTTTTGACACTGCGTTTTGGCACTCGGCTGCTCTTCAGCAAATATTACATAGTCTTCTTCATGTGTTCTTGCCATGGTCCTAAACTACCAAATTATACTGTAAAGGATGAACTAAACCTAACCAAAACAAAATCTGGAAAACAGGAGAGCTGACCTCCCTTTATCTCCCATTAATCTTTTATAACCAGGAGAAGAAGTCGAATCAGGTACAATATCCAACAATATAGTAAAAATCCAAATTATGCTGCTGTGAGTGGGACTATTGCATATGCAGATAAATTAGTCAGAGAAACCATGAAAGAGAAATGACTGAAGAGAAAGAGAGCAGGGCATAATCGTTAAGCCTTAGGTACAGATTGTATTTTTCTTTTTTCTGTGTTTCTCCAGGATGACATTATAGATGATGTAGGAGACTTTGTCGCAGCTGCAGAGATCCTGAAAGAGAGAGGAGCCTATAAAATTTATATCATGGCCACACATGGTTTACTGTCTGCTGATGCTCCCCGCCTCATAGAAGAATCTGCCATTGATGAGGTGAGGACACCTGAACTAGTTGTTTTCAATCATGTCCAATCAATAAAATGTATGTTTGTTTGAAGGAAAATCCTCTGTGTCGTACCTGCTCCACTAAATGTCAATAAGGAAGCTGAATGCGATGTGATAAGGGAAGAGAAACTGAACAATCTATTGGAAACCAGCAAAATTTGCTTGTTCATTGACTCATCTGTCATTTTTATAAATAATGTCAAATGCGATACATCCTTGTAATGGAGAGTTGCGCAGATGACTTGTTAATACATGAAATGATCACTATATCCAGAAGTTGCATTTCTATTTCTATTAGTTTCAAATTTTAATTTCCTCCTAAGGCAGTGCTCAGCAAACAAATAGTTGAAGTTTAGTTTGTCTTCCATTGATTTGAAGTAACTGATATTTAAGAACATATTAACTTGCAATCTCATCTCAGTTTGTTTGATATATACTGACATTGCTTAGCTTAATCTGGCTCTCCAACGCAACTTTGTCAGTTGATTTGGCTGCACTTTTCATTCACTGTCAATTTCTGAACTATGACAGAGTTCTAGACTTCCATTTCAAATATGTTTATATTTTGTATGAAAAAAAAATCAACAAATTATTTGTCATGTGTACACATGAAGTTTTGGAAACCATGCGACCATGACCCCTGAGAGCTCACACATGACCCAGGTGAATGAGGTGGAAACCAAAAACCACCAAGACCAAATCATGTTATCTTTTAAAGTGGGGCTGCTTTTTAATTCAAATAGAAACCATCTCATTAAGTCTAAGCACAATGTCTGTGTTTATGTGTCCACAGGTGGTGGTGACCAACACAGTCCCCCATGAAGTACAGAAGCTGCAGTGTCCCAAAATCAAGACTGTGGATGTCAGCATGATTCTGGCTGAGGCTATCCGCCGCATCCACAATGGAGAGTCCATGGCCTACTTGTTCCGCAACATCACTGTGGACGACTAGACAGTGTCAGACAGTGAGGGCTGAGGTGGGTCTGATAGTGACTGAAGGCAGGTGCATTTCTTCCCAGTCCTGTAAAAACTTGCTAATGCCATGTTCAGTGTCTTGTGTATGTGAGGATCACATGTATCCTAAATAATTTAAAGAAATTGAAATTTAAGAAGTACCCAAAGTTATTTATCTTCTAATCAAAAGTTGTAAAAATATATTTCTTTCATTCATTTGAGAAATGCATCTTGTCCTTATCACATAAGGATGATAAAATAGCAAATAAGTGACTTGGAGCTTTGATGCATTCAGTCATATTTTGAAGCCTTGGTTCTACCTGCTGTTCTCATTAATAATCCAACATGAACAAAAGATGCTTTGTATTTAAAAAAAATATTTTGTCATACACTGCAGTACCTCATATTTTAATGACTGAGCTTCATCTGCATATAAGAAGAGATAAAAAGAAAGAAAGAAAAAGAGAAAATGTCTCAAGTCACAGGAGTTTGTGCATTTAAAGGCGCTATATGTAAGTTTTTGCTGTTGCTACATTGCCAACATTAGCATTAACAGCTGTTTACTTACTAGTCTAGAAGAAATGTTGCGAGTTCAGCATCAAACTTTGTTTACTTGCCAAGAGCTGTCTCCAGCTGTGGAACACAACCCTCTTGTTTTGCTTCTATTTCTATCACTTCTTTCATTAGCATGCTAACCAGCTAGCCCTCGTCCAGACGGACCCCCTCTCTCATCAGTTTCGGATCCCCATCACTGTAGTGTCCAAGCTGCCCTGGAGATGCAGCACTAGTCAGAGGGCATATTATAACCTCTTGTATTATAAACACAGCAATGGCTGAAGCTCTTGGTATGTGACCGTCACCACAGACTGCTTCCAATAAGAAACCACATTCAGTCGCAGAAAAAACAAACGTGTAGCCCCTTTAAACTATTTCCCGATGCTCTTGCTGGCCCTTGCGATCAGGGCTGCTTAGCACTGTGATGTTTCAGACCACATTAATAAGACTGGTCGAACTCTTGCTCACTGGTGCTTAGACTATGTTTTTATGCAGCTTTTTTGCGCCATTTTTGGGAATGTTTGGTAAAATGTCCTATGTGGCATAAGAGGTCTTTCATCATCTGCAAAAATAAATGGGCCATCCTTTCACCTCAAATTAAATTTACTTCCATTATATTGTGGTGGCAGCAGAACAGTGAATGGCAACACATGACTGGCAGTAATTAGGAAGTATGATTTTTTTTTTTGTGATTGGGTGAACTGACTCTTTGATAGTATACTAGATTTCTGTGCATATTTTATCAGGCTGATGGTATCTGTTATCTGACCGCATGTGAGTTGCACAAATAGCTAAAAGCAGGACCATTTGATTTTCTACATATTTTAGCCTGTTTGCTACTAATCACAGAGATTCTACATTATTGTTTTTCAAAACCAGAATAAACTCGCAGGAATTTGCTTTGGTTTGGTTAAGTTATTGTTTTCATTGCAGTTACAGTACTGTTATCTGGTGATGTGATTGAAAGTCTGGAGTGATTTGAAAAGTCTGCTGGGTAGTGTAGTCATGTTCACATACCCCTCTAAAAGGTGTCCATGTGCTAATTTTTTTCCTTCTAAATCTGAATTTTGAGCAACATTGTTCATGACAGTAGTGCAGGTCTTCATCACTTGAATCTACCAGGCCAGTAGACTTTGAATTGATCCATACTTTCAGATGCATTACATTGTAGTAATGACTTTGGCAAAATCTAATATGGTGGGCTACTTAAGTTGTTTTTTTGTTTTTTTTTTAATGCAGCACTAAAGTGAATGGAAGCCAATGTGTGTCTGGAAGAGGACATGTGCACTGAAAAACTGAAAAATTGTGAGCAGCAGTTTATAGTAAATTGACACAAACATGTGAACATCAGGATGGTCTGGACGTTGGTCTCTAAATTCCTGTGGTGTCTCCCTGTAAGGACCTACACTTTTGAACATGTGCACCTTTCTGTGGCCTCTGAGTAAATTTCAGAGTGAAGCTCAAGGGGAAATAAGTTTATTTCTATGCCAATTGAGCCTTTTGCTCAGGGAAATATACTTTATAAGCCAATGCACACTTATTTGTTTTTGTGTTCTTGCAAGAAAAAAAAAAAAAAAAGAAAAAAAGTTTGTTGAGAACGTCTTCCATACAGCTGTACTGCACGCCTTTTGCTTTTTACCATTGGTTTAGTTTTGTTATAAGTACTGTGTCATGGTTTGGTATTTGACAGCTAAAGATGCACACCCGGGTATTGGACCTTGTCTGTATCAAATGTTGAAGCTATTCCAGCTCAGATTTTACATGTCATTAGCATATTTCATGATGTCCTCTCTGTATGTGCTCTTCCCCTGACTTATCTGCAATGTCAAGGACGTATACTTCAAATATCCTTCTGTCTGCCTCTACAGCATTTGTCAATGTCTAATGAAAATAAAAAGGTTTCCTCTTGTGCCTTGTCTCTAGAGGAAAGTCAAACTTTCTTAGGTTTTAACTTTGAATATTTCTTCTAAGTGTATTCCAAACATGTATCTCTCTGTATAGTCTGTATTAGACTAGAAATATTTCACACTAAGCAGACAGCAAAATTTAGTCAATCTGAATTATACATGATTGTGTATTCTTTACCTAAAATATCACTGTAAATAATAACCTCTACTGATAATTCAAATATTATAATATAGAAAGGTCAAAATCTTCAATTTCAGTGCAGAATCTAATTAAAGATAATTAAAGAAAAATTTAGATGCATATATGATTCCTCAAACCTTTCATGCAGCTTACCAGTTACCAGTTATTTTGTAACAGGTAGCATGCCTTCAGACAAACACTAGATGTAGTGATAGTCAGAGATCCTGTACTTGTTCAAGACTTCTCAGGCATCGATCCAACACTGAGGAGCTTTGACCAAGTCTAGGAGCAGAGACAAACTCACAAACACTCATCATTCATGGAAGGAGACTAAAGCATTTTCATAATGCTGAATTAGGCTCAAACTAATCTTTCTATGTTCAGTATGGACACAAAGTTGTTGAAATGGTTAAAATTTGTAAGGCCTATCTAAAACTGAGTATATCTGTGCTCACTACACCCTGAATGAAAAGTTTATAGTTCGCACCTGAGTTTTAAAAAGGACCGTCTTCCCCTCTGTGTCTCCGTCCATGCGCCAAAAAGACGAGTTAGTGTGTGGCTGTGGACCAGCTGAGGACAGCTGTGAGTTTAAACAGGACACAAAGAGGAACCAGACATTTGATAGTCACTGGTCACTTCCTTGTCTGATTCTGGGGAAACAATGCACCTTGTCTCTGAACGTTTTTGGAAAGAGGAAGCACACCTTTTTCTCTCCCTCTCTGGGCCTACGTGGCCTTTCAACAGTTGGGGAAATTTTGCAAGCTATTTATCAGTGCATACATAACTTCATAGAGAATTTAGAGAACATGAAAAATGTCATAACAGATTAACTGATCATCATCTTTGTGTGTACAGTATGGCAGGTGGGAAGTATTTTTCATGATTGCATATCCCTTTACATCACTAATTTATTGTGATGTAAATTGTGAGGAAGAGAGGGGTGTGCCAGCCCTTCACCTCATCATCATCATCAATAGTTAGGTTTTTAGTTTTGTCCCCAAGCCTGTTACGTTGAAATGAAAACCTGCAGCCTCTCCTCCTGCATGACACTTTGTCTGTACCAAACAGACACAGGTCATTAGACGGTCATGTAGTATTCAGTAGATATCAGAATGCATTTTCAGTAGCTAATGCATGACAGAAAAAGTTTGAGAACCACTGACCTACAGTGAGCATTCATTGTTGGTGCATAACGACCACCAGAGGGCAATACAACACAGTGTAGAAAACTCATGGACTTGAGATCGCGTGTGTTAGACCACTGCAACACGTCCATGGTTTACTTTATTTCACCTTCATAAGTCACTCAGTATTGATACCACTTTCCAGGGAGATCCAATCACCTTGAATTGTAGACAGGTCAGTTTTATTTAAAAAAAACAAAACAAAAAAAAACAAAAAACTTACATTTCTGGTTAGAGAAGAAGAGAAAAAGATTATCAGTTTGTTGACACAATACAAGTTGAAGTGGAATTACAGGAATTTAATATGCTTTTAACATCAAAAATGTCTGCGTATGCCGTGACAGAATAACTCTTATAATAATAATAAGAGACAGCTCATGCAGTATGTTTTAAAAATAATTTTTACGAAAGAGACATGAATTTTAAAAAGTCAGATGTAATATAGTCACATTTTATTTATAGAAGGTTAAAATAAGAACATTGTGTCCCTAAACTCTACTCAAAGACAATTTTAAAGACTTTTCTCAGACGAGTGAGATTTTAAAGTGGTGTTTTCTGTCAGCCCATGTAACAAAGTCATTTTCCACATCACTACCATTATTAAAAGAAACTAAAAAAACAATATTTAATATCTATGCCTTACCCCACTCTTACCACCACATCTCTGCCTGTTCTTTGACATAAAGAAACATCCCAACAGTGAAAGCAGCTAATTAATTCATAGAGAGTGGTTTGATTTGGTGTCATGGTGAATAGAAAACATTTGGCGCAGACAAAAAGATAACTTCACCACTAACCAGTATAAACCGTCAGTTATACAATAAGGAAAACTCCCACTGAAAAATCATTAATTAGTCAGACAAAGAGAGAAACAACAGTAAATCTACATTGTGTTATTCAAAATAATAATTTACACATGCATACTGAGGTTATGCAAAGCAGCAGTTCAGAGCTGCAGAACAGGCTACACAAGATTATACAACATAATGCCTAATGTGTCACTATCAAAAATATAAACAGTTTCAAGGTGAAGTTCTTCTGTTGTTCACTTGAGTCATAAAGCCATCATACAAAGATACAAAGACACAAACAGACTTTTGCATAAATACCCATGACTTCACAGTTATTGCACTTTTTTAAAACACCAGTAACACGAAACCCCAAAATGAAACATCACATACACTGAGATTTGAGTGAAAACTGAGCTTATGATACATGATACTGTTTCTACACTGTCACTGTTTATTACTGCATCATTTTTGACATTCAGACTAAGTAGTGTGTTGCAGCAATTCATTTTGGCACTGTTCAAGCAGTCCAGCCACATTCTTTTGGGTCTTCAAGGTGGTGTCTGTTTTCAACATGTTTGTCTTCATTGTAGCATCTCTGTGCCTCCAGTGCTGCTGTGGGGTTGGCTGAAGTGCTTACAAGACTGATGAGGAGGACATAGTTCATTAACTCAGTGTTTCTTTTGAGTCTTTAACACTGTCTCTTGGTTTGTTTCTGTCCAATCAGCTCCCCACCAACAAAGCTCTTTTGCTCTCTTTTGTGCAGATTTTTCTCATCTTCTCTCAGTCTCTTTTTGTGTTGTTGCCCTCTGAGCAGCGCCACATCATTATGAGATGAGGCAGCTGTTGGTCTTGTTCATAGGAGGTCGTTTGTTGCTCTCCTTGGGGAAGGTTTCCCGTCTCCGGCACAGTGCCGGACTGAGCCGACTGGGCAGGTTGGCCTGCAGGAGCAGCTCCTTGAAAGCCTCCAGCACGTTGATGTTGTTTTTGGCCGAGGACTCCATGAAGCTGTGGTTCCAGTCCAGCTCCACTGTGGACAGCACGTCCTTGCTGGACACCTGGCGCTCATTGTGACGGTCAATCTTGTTGCCTATCACCACAATAGGCGTGTACTTGTCCTCTTTGACCTCCAGGATCTCCTCTCGCAGACTCTTGACTGCGTCCAGGGATTCAGGATCATCCACGGCGTAGACCAGGGCGAAGGCATCGCTGTTCTGAATGGAGAGCTTGCGCATGGCTGGGAAGGAGTAGCTGCCACTGGTGTCTATGATGTTGATGGTGACTTTGATGCCCCCCACCTCATACTCCTTCCTGTGGAGCTCCTCCACTGTGCGCCGGTGTTTGGGCTCAAAGGTGTCTTTGAGGAAGCGTTGGATGAGGGCCGTCTTCCCCACTCCAGCCGCTCCCAGAAACACCAGGCGCACTTCTGTCTTCTCCTTGACTTTGAAAGACATGGTGGGTATCTGTTGGTCTTCTCTTCCAAAACTGAAAGAATCTCTTCTGTCGTTTGTCTTTATTCTCCTCTTCTCTACTTGTCTGAAAATGGTTTTGATGGCAGTGATGGAACTGGATGGAGCTGTGATGAAGAGGATGATGATAGTAGCAGATGCATGTGAGTGTGCCTGTGAGGCTGCACGCTGTATTTATGTTCACACACAGTACCTGCCCCCTTCTGCTCTCAACTGAAGCAGCCAATCAGAGACTCTGATGCAAATCAAGTAGAGTAAGAGGAAAAAAATTGGTGACAGCAGTGATTTCACTTTAAGTTGATCTGTGTGCGGTGCAGAAAACATTTCCATCACATTACATTACGATGAGCATCAACACTTGCTTTAATATTGATTTTCAGATCGTTAAAGGGAACTACAGTGAAAGCTTTAATCAAAAAAAGCAACAAACTTAAGGCTTTTGGACTGCATTTCAGGTAGGACTGCAACCACAGAACAGAAGTCTAGAAAATAGGTCATGAAGGGGAAGGTTTTTATATCAGAATAATTAACCAGAAGAAAACAAAGACAATTTATTATTTAAAAAAAAGAAGAGACACTAATCTTACAAAAAAGTGACGCAATGAATGTTGAACCTGTTTAAACATTCTAATGCATAACCAATTGGTCATTAGTGTCGGTTATAAAATATGAAATTAGATATTTTGCCAAAAATCCACATGGATGATTTCTACCTTTATATGAATATTGAATTTATTGAAGCCAATTCTTTACGTCAGAGGAAGTAGTTGAACATGTGATCTAGGTGAAAGTTCCAGAAGAACCAAGAAATAGACCTTTCTTTTTCTTTTTTTGTTAATGACGGGAAGCCTCTTCAGCAGATTTTAAAGTCAAAGGCACTTTTGCATGTTACAGGGAGAAATTTGAATAATTTGTTAAGTGTACATGTTAAATAGAACAATCACATGACAGCATTTTGGTGAATTAGTTTTAATCAAATCCAGTTGTTGATAAAATGAGTAGCGAACCATTTCTGCGTAAAATGCACCCACAAGCAAGTTCAGTCGGTTTAGTTTGAGTGACGTAAATGCTGTTGCAGTCATTTTGGTTGTCATCATTAAAAGGTCATATATTCAGAACAGTTCTTAGTGGACCGCCCAGACAAGAACAATATGCCAATAATTTGCTGTTGAGGTCCAAAATGAAATGCTATTTGATCCCTGCAAGGCTGTTAAGTTGAATATAAAAGATCTCACTTTCCCCCAGGGGAGAATCAATGCAGTCACTTGACAGCATGAATGTTCATGCCTATAGCATTATACACTCTGCAAAAAGGAAAATGCATAAAATCCAATTCATTTTTACAAAATAAAACCATTCCTATTTGACACATTTGCCTTATTTCAGAGTACATTTAGTCTCAGTAGAGAACTCTCTTGCACTTGCTTGTTTTATTTGCACTTGTGACACATGATGACAAAGGGAGACATCTCTTTGCCATTGTCTGAAACTCAACTCACATGTCAGAGACTGAAGAGGCTTCTGTTCCTGCACTCTCAACAAGTGAGTCACAGTTTTGCACAGGTTTGATGCAACTATCTTCATTACAGTGTGTTAATCACAACCTTGTTGTATATAAAGTACATGTTTAGACGAATCATTTTTTGCATTGAAATGATGTAACCCACGTAAAAAAAAAAAAAATTAAAAAAGTGCGTGCTCAGTATCATTGTTTTCCCAGTGCTGCAGTGACTCAAATGTCAACTGTGTGGGAAGATGAATGGTCTACAGACAAAGTAGAAAAATAATATATTACAGTTATCATTATCATACTCGCATCTCTCACATGCTCCCTGAGCCCAGACTTTGTCACTTGTTGCTATGATACCAGAGAATCCATTACCTGAAAGCTAGTAGAAATGTTCTCCTAATTAGTGCTGTCATTCATTACTGAGTCCAACTGTTCACGCTGGAGAATGGTAATGGGGTATACTGGTTAATTATTTCATTGCCATAAATTGTAGAACGTGTCGATGTCTACAGTTGGGTTCTTCTTGGCCTGTACAGGTTAGATTCAACCATATCTGGGCCAAGATTGTACATTTCAACAGATTCGCTCTGTGTTATGTTTGTTATTCTGTTACAAGTGTGTGTAAATCTGATTTTCTGCTGAATAGGCCTCTCAATTTATGTCTGATGTCTCCTTATCTCCTAATGTTACTGTTGTGTGCTGCACTCTCTAAACTCTCAGCAAGGGACTCGGGGATGTTAACTCTGGACTTCCTGACCCCCCCCCCCCCCCCCCCCCCCCCCCCCCCCCCCACCTCTCTGGAGACAAAACTAGCCTGAAACTAAAGCTCAAGGCCCCTGAGCAATTCAGCTCCATCTCTCAGGTTCTTCACTTCATTAAACAGCAAGACAGTACCAGCAAGGGAGACTATATATATTTCATTTTCTCTCATCTGCCCATTCTTATCTGTATAGTTTTGTTACAGGTCAGGTCATTCAACAAGGATAATGTGAAAATAGCTACAAGGAATGAAAATACAAAGAGGGATGGGTGAGACCTCTAGTGTAAAAGAAAATGAATTTAATATTATTTTTTAAAGCAGCTACAATAGATTTCTTTTTGGACCACTTGCAGTTTGTGGAATTATCTGTGAACAAAAAAATGACATATTATCTCCTTATAAAGCTGTTGTAGCAAACCTGTTAGCAAAGAATTGCCTATTTTAACATTTAACCGACATGGAGCAATATTAGCATTAATTTGGAGTTATGTTTTTCCGTCCACTTGATGAAGGTGATAAATAGGTGATAAGTATCTGTATGTTCTTCAATATGGGTGACTCATTTAATATTACACATAGTAATATGATCCATTGTTAATACAGAAATATTGATTAGTGTCGCTTTAAATTCAATGAAAGCCCAAATGGGAAAGAGTCTAAAAAAGAGCCTGATCATCGCACCACTTTTGCTGAGTTAAATTTATTTTAAGCCACATTAAACTTGCTGCCATTCATTTTCTGTCATTTTTTATCAGACGACATTAATGTTTGGATTGTGCATTCATTTGCTGTTCAATATTTTATCCATGCTAGCAGCGAGCAGTGGCTCTAGATATTGCCGTTGGTCAGGCCACCACTTTGGTCCAGCCCCCAGTAACTATCAGATGGATCGCCGTTACATTTAGTACAGACATTCATGTTCTCTTCAGGATGAATTATAATAACTTTGGCAATCCCTTAACTTTTAATGTAGCACCATCATCAAATCATCATCAAATTTGTTGAATACAATACCCTCAATTTTTATGACAAATTACCTGCAAAACTATCAACATTCACTTGAGCCACAGCTGTACTTTGTGTTTAGTAACAAATGTTAGCATGCTAAGTAAGATGCTGAACATGGTAAACATTGTACCGGCTAAACATCAGTCATTTTGAGCCTGTTAGCATTTAGCTCAAAGCAATACTGTGCCTAAGTACAACGTCACAGAGGCGCAAGCATGGCCTGGTTCAATTTCCAAATTTCCCTGCGCTTTTCTGTACTATATTGAAGTTTTATTGAGAGATTTTCCATGCATACTTTAATGAAAAGTTTTTAAAACCAGTTTTATGTATGCAATTGTGTGTATAATGGTAGCTGTTAGGAGTTTTTCCCCAGTAGCTGGCTTTTTCATGGGCTATAGTGCACTATTGAGCTGCTGGCTGCTCTCCCTGGCTCAGAGGTGTTGGTGTATGATGATGACTGACTGTCATAATGGGAGGAACGAGCTGTTCTCAGAGCGCAAAGTCTTTTATATGGTCACAGAGGAAGGGCACTCTCTCAGGTCCCAGTGCTCTGTCGATTAATTATGATTTCAGTCCACTGCTCACGAGTGTCTTATCAAAAAAGAACTCTGAAATGAGAGAGGCATGTGTATCCTGTATGGTATGTCTGTGTCCAGTTTCCAATACCAGCACAGAGGAATGATCAAGTTTCAGGAGATGCCACCTGAGGACATTTACTTAAGTTACATAACAATGTTTGTTAAGCCAGTACATTACATAAATAGACTGAGTGGAGTAATAGCATTCTGACATTAGCATGCAGTACCTGGGAAAGAGAGCCAGGTATATATATTTTGAAGTGTGGTTTGTGTCAGTATTTAATCAGTAGGGTGTGTACGAGTGGCAGAGCGGCCTGTCAGTCATGGGATGTGGAGGAAAAATTAAGCCGTCACACTTTGTCGGTCTGGTGCTGCCAATATGTACTAGGGTTAAAAGGCCAAAGGTTTATACTTAGAATATGAGTTTGCACTGCATGCAGGAACTTATAATGCAAAACAAACAACTCCTAATAATTACTAATTAGGGAGTGTCTCAAATGAGTTCTATTCACTTCTTCTTCTGTGGCATATATACACTACAGGTGCACTTTAAACTGTTATAGAGGCTGACCCAGAAACCCTGCAGCATGCCGTAAAGTCATTTGTTTTTTTACAGCTGAGCTAAGTGGGCAATTTAAGGGCTCTGCTCTCCAGTGGAGGGGATGATGGAGTCTGAACAGACACAGGATCTGTATACTTTGTTTGCCTATGGAATAAAGACAAAGTCAATTGCCACAGGAGGCTATTAATGCCATTAAGTTTGTGTGAATTGAGTAGAATAGGATTGTACAAATTCTTCTTATTTTATTCATGCAAGAAACAGTAGAATTTAATTGGCTGATTTGTACACCACATATCTAGCAGCCACATCTTAGAAGCCAAAATTATTTCTTACATTCGCTACAGGAGAGTTTCAGGATACATTAGCATGACTTTGATGGACCGTTCTCATTATTTTTGGGGATGAACAGTGACGGTAACATTGCCCGACATAGATGCAAACGCCGAGGTCTGATGCTGCAGACGGCTCCATCATCCGTCTCACACAAGAAACAGCTTGACACATGCATAATGGCCTGGACCAGGGAGCTATCTAGCAGCACATTTTTGGACGTATTCTTCCCCGTGGAGACTGTAGCTGTGTGAATTATTTTAAAATGAAAGGCCAGAAGTTCCACAACCAGCTGCTGCTCCACAGTTGTTCCACTTTGGCTGGTCTAAGCCGAGCGTTGATACAAATTGGGTTTGTATTATTTAATGATTTGGGCCTCA